AATAATAAAAGAAAAAATAGAATGAAATAAAATGACATTGAAGAAAAAGATGCATAGCTGTTATGCTTTTGGTGGCTAACATGGTAACTATAGAGTGGAGGAACTATGACGTCACTTTGTTTGTAGGCTAATCGGCTGCTAGCATAAAACTGGTTCCCTCATGAAAATCCCTATAGGATTTTCCCATAGGCTTTTCGAAGATTGCCAATAATAAGCTCTGTGTTCAAACACTGTTCATTACACTAACACATTTTGTCCAGTCGGATAATCCTCACATGAAAATACAACTTTGAGCACTTTTGGATCTTAAATGCAAACACAAGAGATGAAAAGCTAACATTAGGCTATAAACGGACTACAGAGCCCTCGGGGCGCTCGCCTGTGACGTCAGCACCACCCTGCTACAGACGACTTATCAAGCTTATTTTTTAGAAATAATGTCCATGACAAAGAGTTAATCTCTCTGTTTATTATATTATAATCCACAGTATATATTATAAACAAATAAATACACACAAACACATAGACCTACGTGCCTTATGGATCGTTTTTAAGTGGGAAATAAATCTGTTTTGCTTTACGGTTGTTCTAAAAGTTTAAAAACTATGTATAAATGTGCCTACATAGTATTATCATAATACATATTTAAATAAGTGTATCGCTCGCGTGCACACAGCCTGCTTGCTTTAACAGAAGACAGAAATGAGGCGTGAGGGACAAGTCTATCAAATCAATGCCTGCAAGTTCCATCATGGACATAGAGCAACATTCAATATTCCTTTTATGTCACGAAGTACAGTGAAAAGCAGCCCATACAGTCAAATATGCTATATATTTTACAGATGAGTGTAAATATTGCAGTTATGACAGAGTTAAACTTGTTTAGATTAAGAAAAAAAGACGAAAAATCACTTGATTACTTAAAAATGACAGTTAAAATGCATGTATTTTTACACATTTATTTACACGTTTGCATTACTGAGAGCAGGAAAAAGGCAGGCTGAACTGGTGAGTATCATTTACTTAAAATAAATGATCAACAAATGAATCTGTCTCGACAGTCTTTACAAGTGAAAGAATTATCTACACACAATCTAAATTCCCAATTAGAAAATACTACAAACTATAAAATACTATTCATGAAAATACCTAAATAACAGACAAATCCAAATGCCCAACAGAAGCGAGCTGCGCTACAGACCAGATCATTTCGATGACGTATAATGTCCTCAACACCACCTGTAGTCTCATTTAGCACTTTGATAGCAACCGTCCTTTTGAAGAAGCATAAGCGATTTAAAAATTTACGAGTGTGCTGTAACGGATGTGTTTTATGTCATAGAATAAAACGTGAAAGTATAGTGAGTTGGTGTTAGCCACGGACCTTATTTTAGCGATTTTACTGAAACCCCATACAAAAAACCCATTGACTTTGGGACGAGGGAACCGGAAGTGCTAAAATGCTAACTCGCTTCCGGGTTTTTGCATACAAATTGATGTCATAGTTCCTTCACTCTATTGGATAGGTACAGATGGAGATTCTTTCAGAACAAATTTTTTAGTATTGAGAGGTCTTAGGGGAACAGTAAGACCTATAAACTAGGAACTAAAGTAGATGTCTTTGGAACAACAATACCTACTACAGTTCAGCTTTACTTTGTAGGGTATACCTGTCAACATTGGGATGTGAAAATAAGGGATGTGCCCACCATAATAAGGGATGTGCCCACCATAATAAGGGGACCGGGGACCCCACAGCCCATTTTCATATTTTTCAAATGACACATGTACAAGTTATAGCTCAAATGAAAGTGAATTATATTCCCATATCAAACAGTTGCCGGATGAACCATGGTGTTTCCATAGCGCAGAAATGAAAACAATACATTCATGATCAATAAGCAGCCCCAGATAGCACAGACAGCTGTCATCTCTTACCTTATGCTGTGTGCTTCAGGGCCATTCTCCTCTGTTTTTGAGGTGATGTGCATAAGTAATCCTTTTATATGTCTGATGTGGTCCAAACATAGTAAATTATGTTTGATCAAACAAAAGAATAATGAAATATGTAAACAATGATCGATCCCTGTGGCTTGTACAGCACCTCTCAACAGTTGTTGAGATACAATACAATAACTTTTGCATAGATAATGGTAGAGACATTTTTCTTTTTTACTATGATTACAGACATGTGCAGGAACCACCAAAATTAATTACAACATGCTAGACCACACAGAACCTAAAAGGTACACTTTAAAATTTGAATTAATAAAAAATAAATAAATACAAAAGCGCCTCTATTTTTAGCTGTTTATTATAACACAGACAACATATACAGGTATTTTAAATGCTCTCAATAGTGTTTTGTGAAAATGCAAAGGGTTTTCTTTTAAAGGGCCATGAAACCCCCTCGTTTCAGCAGGGTGTTTTCACACCTCTACTTTGGAAAAAGTCAGAAAAGTGGGCGTGTCCAGCTCTGTTTAGGGGGGAGTGTCGGAGGAAGAAAAGCGGCTTGGTATAGGAGTGTCTATTTGGGCGCACAACCACAGCGGACAATGTGACTGTGTTTACATGGACATCTGTAGTCGAATTATTTGCCAAATTATTAAATGGTGGGCTCTTTCATTCAGGGAATTCATTCATGCCCCTCGCGACAAACATGATATTTGATTCAAGGAACTGCTCTAAGTGTGTATTTTTCATGCAATGTTTGATACCGCACGGCGAATGAGAGAAAAAAAAAACTCAGCATTTCCCGGAAACTTAGATGCACACGGCAGGTAGTGTCAGAAAGCCGCGTATGTTATTCCGGTCACAAAATTCAACACGAGGTTATAGTTTAATTGTAACTGTTAGTGCTAACTTGTTTACACTCGGTGCAATAGTTTGTTTGATACAAATAAAATACGAACTGAATAAACAAAGAGCACTGGTCGCTCACTTACCAAATCTGTAGAGACAGGACAATCCACAGCAACTAGAGCTGCGTCTTTATTAAGAGAAGACAACAAGCGAATCCGGATCTCAGCGTTTGCAGATGAGAACAGCTCTCAGGTAAACAATGTTCCTCCTTAGACACGTAAGTTATTGTTGTCGCGCGTCGCGTACACTGTTAATCCACACGTGGCGCCAGCTGCGCTCTCACAGAGAGAAAATGAAAACAAAACTTAACTGCAGCAAACTATAAAAGCAACACTTCATGCTTGTTTTGCCAATAAAACGTGGCGTCTCTGCCGTCTACACTCTGACAGTAATGAATATTAATGAAGTGGCACAATAGAGCGCGCTAATTGGTTTGAACCAAGCCTTACTCATCCATTAATGCAACACACTGTAAGACGTAATAAGACTCACTCTGGCACAGACGTCCAGTCTGCACGCTGGAATACAACACTATTATGTCATGGCCGTGATGCAGCTTCAAAAATTAGTTTCAAACCGGAAGTACGAATTTGCTTGAAATAACGCAAAAACAACCAATTTAAACTTTTTAGTGAAATATAGGTGTCCTGATAGTGTTTTTAGCAGTGTGGGACACATATACGACTGTCAACAGCTCAAAAAATGTGTTTTGGTGTTTCGTGACCCTTTAAAGTTATACCAATTTTTTTCATTTACACCTCTGCATGTGGATTTGGCAAGCTTTTAAATTTGGGTAGGCAAAATCCAGGCGGAAAATCCCAAAATATTACTGATGGGCAGAAGGCAAGCCATTGTGTAAATCAGGTTGATGCTTGCTGTAATAGAAAGAGATGATGACTGTCCAGCTTGTTGCTTCACCCGGCAGATGAGATGCTCAGTGTAGACCCTAAGCCTTGTGATGGATGGCATCTCCCTCACAGTCGCATTTACTCTGGACACATTACTCTGTATGTTGTAGGATGTAGATGTATAAATTAGATAGAAATGCATTAGGTTTTTTATGTAAGTATTTGTTTTAGTTTGGTATTTGCCTCTTACATGACACTAGAATGTTTGGTGTGTGTGTGTATGCATGCATGTATACAGTATAATAAAACTTACTATAGTATGGTTAATGTAATATTATATAATATTAAATGTAATATTATTTAATATAAAATACAATTACAACTTGTTACTTCTTTCATCTGGGTTTTATTCTTGTACATAATTTTTTAACTGTACCTTTAGAACCTTATATTATCACCAAAAGCAGCATCAAAGCAGTCTCCTTTCAGTCACTCCACCTCTTCACAGAGATTGTCTGCCTAATATGGTGTATAAAATCAACTACCGTGGCTTCTGGAACTTAACAGTAATGATATTCCAGATGCTGGACATACACTGGCACATGGCCTCACCAGTTTAAGAGTAAATCTCCCTTCTTTGCAATGCTCTGATGCGTTTAGGTGTCTCTGCTATTAGATTTCGCTGTAGAATGAAATCAACGCTATCAGATTTCGCTATGCGGAAGTAAACAGCCTGACTGATATTCTACCGGAAACACGTCAGCAGAGTTTGTGCATAGAGCCTATTTACTATAAGTTCTATGTTAAGCGGCTTTAACACAATTTCCATTGTAAAAGCACTAGATAAATAAAGATGAATTTAATGTAATCTGCTTAAATGTGTACAAGTTAATGGACCAAACAAAATATCTGATTTATTTTACATTTAATGTGCATCAAAATTAGTGTGTGTAGCCAATGAGTGTCTTCTCACTTTTCAGCTTTCAATGAGAGTTTTTAAGACTCAATGAAAACTAATGATTTTTTTTTAAATTTCAGACCTAATTGAAGAGTATGAGTGGAGTAAAGAGGAGGGACATCATGTCAAAATTGAGGACCAAAGTCATTTTACAGACTGATGGTATTTTAAAGAGGAGAGACAAGAATCTTTTCACCTGCACTCAGTGTGGAAGGAGTTTGGCAAGCAAAAGCAAACTTAAGATTCACATGAGGATCCACACTGGAGAGAAACCATTCACATGCACTCAGTGTGGGAAGAGTTTTGGAATACAAAGCAGTCTTAAAATTCACATGAGGATCCACACTGGAAAGAAACCATTCACTTGCGCTCAGTGTGAGAAGAGTTTTAGCCAATCATCAAACCTTAATAATCACATGAAGATCCACACTGGAGAGAAACCATTCACATGCACTCAGTGTGGAAAGAGTTTTGGAATACAAAGCAGTCTTAAAATTCACATGAGGATCCACACGGGAGAGAAACCATTTACATGCACTCAGTGTGGGAGGAGTTACCACCAATTATCAAACCTTAATAATCACATGAAAATCCACACTGGAGAGAAACCATTCACATGCACTCAGTGTGGGAAGAGTTTTGGAATACAAAACACTCTTAAAATTCACATGAGGATCCACACTGGAGAGAAACCATTCACATGCACTCAGTGTGGGAGGAGTTTCAACCAATCATCATCCCTTAATCTACACATGATGATTCACACTGGGGAGAAACCATTCACATGCACTCAGTGTGGGAAGAGGTTTAGCCAATCATCAAACTTTAATAAACACATGAAAATCCACAGTGGAGAGAAACCATTCACATGCCACCAGTGTGGAAAGAGTTTTAGCAGACCATCACACTTTAATCTACACATGAGGATCCACACTGGAGAGAAACCATTCATATGCACTCAGTGTGGGAAGAGTTTCAGCCAATCATCAAACCTCAATTCACACATGAGGATCCACACTGGAGAGAAACCATTTACATGCACTCAGTGTGGAAAGAGTTTCAGCCAATTGTCTTCCCTTAATTTACACATGAGGCTCCACACTGGAGAGAAACCATTCACTTGCACTCAGTGTGGAAAGAGTTTCAGCCAATTGTCATCCCTTAATTTACACATGAGGATCCACACTGGAGAGAAACCATTCACTTGCACTCAGTGTGGGAAGAGTTTCAGCCAATCAGCACACCTTAATAAACACGTGTTGAGCCACAATGGAGAAAAGCCATTCACTTGCACTTAAGCCACGGTCACACTTGATTTTTTTTTTCCCCATAGACTTCCATTCATACGCATGCAAATGCGTAAGACCGGAAACACAAGTTCCCCTTCGGTTGGGGAACTTCAGTACTATACAGTGGATTTGATCTTGGAAAATCCACGTATGGGAGGATTCGGTTCAGAAGCCGTTTGTCTGAAAGAGTATTGAATGGGCCAATGAAGCAAATAATCGGCAGCGTAAGCTTGTGCAGGTGTGCCTCATTGCCAATTATCCCAGCATATAAGCACACCTGGAGCGAGCAAACGAGAGCATTCTTCCGGTCCAGAGTGTATACACGCAGCGGCAGACGGTCGAGCTGAGTTTCTCCCTTGCCTGGCGTTCTTTGGGTCCGGTCCTCCAGAGCGGTGCATATAAAGTTGCAACTTCACAAAGCGAGCAACACAGTCGTGCAGCACGTCCTTTTCAGGACGGCGCTCCGACTGTGCGTTTCTGGATGCGGCGGTTTCCTGTCCTCGGATGATGGGCATGGGCACTGGATTGCATGCCTGGGGGGTCCAGCATGTTAATGCGCTGCTCGTGGACAGTTCATGTCGTCATTGCGATGCCATGACTGTTGCGCAGTAAAGATCTCGGCTAGCCTTTGCGAAAGGGCAAACCACCCCAGTTGTCCCCTGCTCTGCAGCGGGCACTCGGGCAGATCTGAGGGTTCAGCGAGAGATAATCCACGGGCCCGCGGACCTCCCGCTCCTCCAAGCGCTCCATCCAAGCTTCGGGCGAGGGAAGCGATCTGTCTAACAGATGGTAGCCCTTACGCTCGATGACACCGGAGACCAGATGTCCACCGCGGCATTGGAGGGTGGGCTTTCATTTTTCGATGATGATCCAGACCTGCTCGCCCCCTCCGGGCAGCTGAGCGCTGTCAAGACGGATCCTGAAACAGACATGTTAGCCGTGCTTTCCCGGGCTGCTTCGGCCATGGGTTGGAGATGGTTTATCCCGCGGCTGGGCCGACTAGAGGGGCGTCCCCTTCTTCCCGGAGCTGCACAGTAGGCTCATGCGGACTTGAAGGGCGCTTTTTTCTGCTCGTGCTGCGTGTCCCTCCACCCTCATCTTGGCAGGGTCCGCCTCGTCTCCCATCCAAAGCCTGTAAGTTATCTGCCTCCCTCGGAGCTAGAGCTTACAAGGCCGCGGGCCAGGCTGCTTCCGCCTTGTATGCAATAGCCACCTACCAGCGCTACCAAGCGCAGGCGCTTGCCAAGCTGCACGAGGTTGGGTCCAACCTAGGCTTATGAGCTTCGCACAGCAGCCGACTAAGTTCTTCGGACTACTAAGTCCGCTGCGTGTGCGTTGCGGAGGACGATGTCCACACTAGTGATCCAGGAGTGCCACTCCTGGCTGATATGCGCAAAGTCGACAAAGTCCGCTTTCTTGACTTCCCCATATCCCAAGCTGGCATGTTCGGTGACACCGTCTGTGAATTCACCCAGGAATTCGAGGAGGTGAAAGAGCAGTCTGATGGGTGATGTCTTATCGGCGGGTCCGTAAGCCCGCTCCGCCCGCCGTGCCATCCATACCTGCTCCTCGCCAAAGGCGCCCGCCTACGAGAGCTGCACCTCCCCCGCACACGCCTCTGGCGAAGCGAGCGCGTCGAGCACCTCGGAAGCAGGCAGCCCCCCCTGCCCAGAAGTCCGGCAACGGACCGCGAAGAGTGCCTGGGACAGGCCATCTGGATAAGAGGGAACTTGCTCTTTCCCCGCTGGAGGGCGGGGCCCCATTTCCAACGGCACTTTTTACTGCTGTGAAAACATCATGAAAAAGCACTTTTCCACTTCCCCGGATGTGACAGCCTGAAATCTGCCAGTCGGGGACGCTATGCTTTCTAGCTTGCAGGTTTGGTGCGTTTCGCCAGTGGCTCATGAGCGCTGGGAGGATGGTCTCCTTTCTCCTACCCCTTGAGCCTCCCCTCCGGAGCTCCGGACCTGGATGTCAGAGCCCTCCCCTGGCAGTTCCCTTCGAGAGAGCACCTACTCTCTCAGAGACAGGGCACCATCTGGCACCCTCGCCAATCTTTGGAGGTCCTTAGACGCGAGGAAGACTTGGGTAACCTCCGATTGCGGTGGCTAATACCGTCACTCGGGCTAAAGCCCCCTCCCCGAGCGCGCCTATGCCCTGAAGTGGAGTCTATTCACTGAATGGTGCATCTCTCGCAGAGAAGACCCCCGTAATTTGCCAGATTAGCATTGTGCTTTCTTTACCCTGAGAGAAGCTGGAGAGCAGGCTGTCGCCCTCAACACTCAAGGTTACGTGGCTACCATCTCCGCTCTCATGACGCGGTGGCTGGCAGCACCGTGGGAACGCATAACCTCATCATCCGGTTCCTCAGGGGCGCTAGGCGAATTAATCCACCCCGCCCCCTCTCATGCCCTCTTAGGATCTCGCCCTCGTTACACGAGCTGCGTCAGATCCATTTGATCCTTGACTCAATATCTTTCTGTCCCTGAAGACAGCTCTCCTGGTCGCGTTGATATCGATTAGAGGGTCGGGGACCCGGAGGCATTTTTTCGGTCAGTCGTTTTAATGCCAGGTAGTGAGCCTGCAAGCGCTGCCCCTGGAGGAGGCAGACCCAGCCCTTTCTTTATTGTCCAGTTCACGCCTTGCGTATTATCCGGACCGCACTCAGAGTTTAGCAGCTCTTCGTCTGTTATGACGGCCGGCAGCAGGGAAGTGCCGTATCGAAATTAAGTTTTCCCACTGGATAGTGGATGCCATTCTCTCGCTTATCAGAGCCGAGGTGAGCTGCGTCCCCCGAGAGTGCGTGCTCACTCCACTCGGAGCATCGTATCCTCTTGGGCATGCGCACGCGGCGCCTCTCTAACAGACATATGTAGAGCTGCGGGCTGGGCGACACCCAACACATTTGCAAGGTTTTACAATCTGCAAGTGGAGCCGGTTTCCTCAAGGGTATTAGGTAACCCTTTGGTGATTGAGGAAACAATTCGGTAGGGTGTTGAAACACGCTTGCTGTGCCATTCTCCCTAACACAGAGATACGTGCGCCTTTTTATCTGTCAGTAAAGTTCCCCGTCAGGTGAGCCCTGCAGATTCCTCCGTGGCCCCCAGCATTGACTCAGCGGAGGAGTCACTTGCTGGCCCACTACGTTGTTGGTCTGCCCGCTGGTCAGCCTGCGTCTTGGGTATAGGTGCCTGCTATTCGTGATCCCCACAAGGCGATCCCAAATGCTCATTCCGCCACAGTTAATCCCCCCCCCCCCCCCCCCCACACAAGATCAAATCCACTATATAGCACTTCCGTTCCCCTCCTCGGGGAACAAAGGGTTACTTCTGTAACTTCAAACGTTCTTGTGTCAAGTTTCGTAGTTCACTGCCTTACAAAGTTTAATCTTGGTGAACTCTTACCTGGGAAATTGCATTACTTGACTGTGTGAGACCAATCAAAGATCAAAACATGACCTCTCTGGACAGAAATTTAAAACATGGACCAATCGCTCACTTTTTTAAATATCTAATCATCTTTGTAGCGAAATTAGCTAAGTTTATGAATATTAATGATCATTAATAACAAGTTATTATTAAATATTAATATTCCGGTTTAACCTACTGTCAATTTTGCAAAACAGATATATAACATGATTCCGCCTGCTTGTTCCAGCAGACACTCAGATTATGAATATTAATTATCAATAACAACCTATTATTATTATTAGTATTATTATAAATATAACCAGACCTCTCCTGCTCGTCCGAGTGGACTCTGTGATGATCTGTTTATTTAGAAGCAAATTATTACTACTCCTTGTGAAGTAGATTAATCATTTATGAGTTTGATGAACTTAATAACAGCTTGTAGCAAAGGAATCAATCGCTTTAGTGACTTTTTCTGTGAGGCAAACAATACAATCCATTTGATTATAATGGGATTTATTGACTAGTCTGACATGTAACGAACAAACACACAAACATAACATCAAACATAGAACAAACGTAAACTGAATATAGATAGGCTATATAGGGATCTATAAAACCTATAACAAACAGAAAGAAACAGAAAAGCGAGGAAATAGAGAGTTTAGATTAAAGAATGGCAAATCTACCTCAGTTCCACACAACTATTCAGGACCATTAAGATTGCAAAGAAAACACCTTTTTGATAAGGGGCACAGCTTTAATGCATAACATAATTACCTTTAGAAAGATGGTTTTTCTCTCTTTTTGCGAGTATTCTCTGATGCGTTAGATGTCCTTTAGTGTCCTTTCTAGATGCACAGTTTGCGATGCAGGTCGGAAGATACGCGATCGCAACTTTAAACTGAGTTTTACTTTGCCGGGAAAAACAAGAAAACGTGGGCTCGGACGAGCCACGCGGCTAAAGAAAATGCGGTTTGCCCCCTCAAAAGGGGGCAGCCTCTTAGAGAGTTTTTCCGGATCATTCTGTGCAGAGTTGTGCACACGGCTGGTTTTTAAACTGTGGTGGCATGTCACACCCCTTTTTCGACTGACTGATTTTTTTGTCTCTGAACCGCTAATATGCAAAATAAGGGTCCGCACTAAAACATGCTAAGAGACATTAACTCGGAGCATTAAATAATTTAAGCCATATAGATTATGATCATGTGCTATGCATCATGGGTTGTAAAATGGCAGGAGAAACCTAATGGTATGAAACACTACAGTTTTAAGAAATCAACATGATTCCTACATTCTTAGCTGGTATAGTGTCTTAAAAAGGGCAAGAGAGAGATATTTACATGTTAGAAAAGTCAGAAAAGAAATACAAAGTTTACAAACACATAACATTTACTTTTGGGCTGATTCAGGATTTCTGAGTCCCTTTACGCTGTGGGAGCCTTGTATGTGTGTCCCTGTGTGTCTAAGGAGGAAGCGGGGCAGGAATGTCTTTTGAAGTTTTGGCAACCATCTCTGGCTTACCTCTAAATAAGTAGTGTCACACAGGCTCAGACTTTGTGGCACCAAGAGTCATAAACCCACACAGAGGAGACTTAGACCCCTTTATAAAATCGATACCTAATTTTATCTACTGACTGTACGTTACATCTTGTTAAATCCTGCCTCTTTTCGCAGCGCTGAACAACAGAATTTTGCATGCTCAAACTATAGTGTGACCGCAGCTTCGGAGAGAAACTATTCATATGCACTCAGTGTGGGAAGAGTTTCAACAGATCAGCAAACTTTAATGAATACATGAAGATTCACACTGGTGTGAAAGAGTATATGTGCTTTAAGTGTGAGAAGACTTTTATTACAGCTCCAAAATTGAAACTGCACCAGACGTTTCACACTGGAGAGACCGTACAAGTGTTCACAATGTGACAAGAGGTTTAATCAGTTATCACATCTGAAAACAGAAGAGGATTCACACTGGAGAGAAACTCTACAGATCTGATCAGTGTCTAC